CATTCGGTTATTTATATTTTGAAATTTCATATTAGTTTTAGGCTTAAGTTTTACTAATATATTGTTAAATAGCTAAATACGAAATAACCCGGAAGGCATTCTTAGTAAAATGCTTTAATTTATGGTATTTAATCTAGCTCCTTAAATTTTTCAATTTTTGAATGATTTCAGCCTATCTGGAATTATAATTGTATCTATATATGTGCATATATATGTATATGTATCCATAGGCGGTATCGAGTTTGTGAATGAATTAACTAATTTAAGCTTGGATTCGTGATTATTTTAATATTTTTTTAAAAAATACAAAATTTGTTGAATTCAACGCTTTCTTGTATTATTCGTTGCGGCTCAAGCCCCAATGCGCCTGGCGAGTTTTTCTATTTTCGGTCTTAGTTGTGCGGGTGCCAGATCAAGTGCCGTTTGGTCACTCTGTAGGGATAAGTAAGGAAGTTATAAATTATTCCAAGGAATATATCGTTTAATGGACTTTCTAGACCTTATCTCTAATGTTTACGTCTCCCCCGTGCTTCAACAACAGTTGAATCGCCGGAATGTTGCATTCCTCGCATGCGTAATGTCTATAAAGATTTTTCAAGAAAATTAAATTATTTGGGCAGCATATACGTACATCTTAAGTGACTTACAGTGGGGTCTGGCCCTGGTCGTCACAGGTGTTTGCTGATGCTGGCTTCGGAAGCCTTTTAGGGTCACACTCGTGCTCCGTCTGTTCATTTGTAAGATGCATAGTCAGCAATATTTCTGCAAATGCCATATGACCCTTGGAAATGGCCCTGTGTAGTGGAGTTGTGCCAGCGGAATCACGATGATCAACGTGTGTATTCGGACTCAGCAGGGTAGAGAGTATCTAGAATCGCCTTGGGTAAATTTGCACACCGAGTGCGTTACTCTGGGCTTACTCACCTCAAGTCTATTCTTGGATGCAGCGTAGTGCATTGCGGTCTGCCCCGTAGAGTTAACACTGTTAACATTGCAGTTTGAATCGACAAGGAATTTGGCGACCTCAGTGTGCCCAGCGGACACTGCGATCATCAATGGCGACCAATTTTCCTGATAAGCGATTCGGGATATAAGGTGACTTACCCCGTCATTTTCGTTAATGTCCATTCCCCTCTGTGCTAGCAGCCTTACGAGCTCCAATCTTCCGC